CTGTGGACACTGCAGAGAGAGAGACAAGCATCAGTAACAGACTGAGTGTGTGTGTGTGTGTGTGTGTGTGTGTGTTCACTCACAGCAGGCTGCAGGTCAGTACAGGGGTTTGATTTCGGATTTTCTTCAACATCAGCGTTTTCCCGCAGCTTCTGATTGACCTGCACAAGAAATCAAGCGGTTTAATGTGTTTCTGACTTTCACTGCAGCATCAACACATCTGGAGTGGAACTTGGTTTGATTAAGAAAGCTGTATGCAATACGCTTGTACATATAGCAGTGTTTCCATCTGTGTGTTCAAGAGGACAGAATCATCACTTCCTGGGAAAGTGGATCAATATATCAGTGATAAAGTGTAAGTTTCTGCATTTGGCTGTTTCTCCTCCATCATAAGCGAGTGTGTGTCGAGCGTCATCATAAGCGAGTGTGTGTCGAGCGTCATCATAAGCGAGTGTGTGTCGAGCGTCATCATAAACGAGTGTGTGTCGAGCGTCAGATGAAACACAGTAAGCGCTGTCGTGTTCTCTGGCGTTCGGATGCTGGTGTTCGGGAACACACTCATGTGTGTGTGACGCTTCTGGAGGGAATTACACCAGATCATTCTGATCACACACTTCCACTCCGGCATTTCAGAAACACCAAACCAACATTAGAGACGCTGCGACGCCATTGGTCCACTGGCTACTCCAGTTATCCAATCACAGCTGACGCTGAGCCAAAGTCACATCAGTTTGTTTGGTAAATTTCTTTCCATCGTAGTTTATGCACATCTTCTTATCAGATTAAAACATTTCCACATCAATAATAAGATTTTTAAGCACATTTTTAAAATTTATGCGCATCTTGGCATTTCCATCCGGCATATTTTTACCCCAAAATTCCCATAAAAACAGGTGGATGGAAACACAGCTATAGTCTGTTGTTTTATTTGTGTCGTTTCCCTGTAATGCGTCCAGTTTATGTTTCTTTATAAGTTTTTGTCAAGTTTTGTCAAGCCTTTATCTTTCTGTTCTATAAAATTAATCTTTTCAGATCCTATTAGCCGCGTTCACACTGCAGTTGAATCCGGTTTCACTCCACTTCTGACTCTAGATCGGGCTTTAGGGTTCAAGATGGAGGAACCTTGTTGATCCAGAAGAGCAGTTTATGCTTTATAAGGTTCTTTATAAGTTTTTGTCAAGTTTTGTCAAGCCTTTATCTTTCTGTTCTATAAAATTAATCTTTTCAGATCCTATTAGCCGCGTTTATACTGCAGTTGAATCCGGTTTCACTCCACTTCTGACTCTGCGGTGTGTTTGAGGCTTTAGGGTTCTGCTTTCAGTGAACGTTCTGCAACGCATTTTACAGTTAAACAAAAACGTTTTGTCAAGCCTTTATCTTTCTGTTCTATAAAATTAATCTTTTCAGATCCTATTAGCCGCGTTCACACAGCAGTTGAATCCGGTTTCACTCCACTTCTGACTCTGTGGTGTGTTTGTGGCTTTAGGAACCTTGTTGATCCAGAAGAGCAGAGCGTTCTCCCAGCTCTTGTCGGCCCCGAACTGATCCGTGTCCTTCGACATCTTGACCCGACCCACTGTTTCCATGGCGCTCAGTGACATCAGCGCATCAATCACGGCCAGATGGGCCCCCTGCAACCAATCAGAGAACAGACACACATCCGTCAGCCAATCGAATCACACGCTCGCAGTGAGTCAGTGTGTCGTTCCCTCACCATGTCGAACAACAACTTGTTTAGATTTATGCCTTTGATTTTCTCCCCTTTTTAGAGTAAAAGAGTTTTTGAAAATATATGTTTCATATAAAATTGAAAATAGTATTTGTGCACATTTTTCATAACAATAAACGTAAAATTCTGTAATTTTTTTACGTTCATTTTGTAAAACTTTTTTCGCTTCAGCAATAATCTGCCAAGCGTCATCTTTGAAAAGAGATCAAACTTAAGTCTGTCGCTTTAAAGCATTCAAGATTTACGACAGTTTAAGTTGGAAATGTAATTTATGCTCAAAAAGTGAATAAATGGATTATAAACACAGCGTAAATGTAATTTAGTACCATAAAATCCCCTAAAAATACAAAATATGAAATTTGAAATAATGAAACATTATCGGACTAAAATGTAGTACATCTATTTCATTGAAATGAAAAAAAAAAATTCTGTCATATTTGACCGACACTTGAAGAGCACCAGAGGCTAAAGCAGCGACAATTAGTGAACGAGTGAGCGATTTCGGACACAGCTAGTGTGTGTTTCACTCACCATGTCGATGGGTGTGTGGCTCAGCTGCGCGGCAGTGACCGGCTCCTGCCGGTGTGTGTGTAGCGGGATCAGGGCGTAGCGGTCGAGCAGCTGCAGGAGAGAGTCGTGGCCTGTAGGGGGCGCTGTGACACCGGCCAGAGCGGATGAGGAGAACACACTGCAGTACAGATCCGCGGACAGCAGGAGGCGCTCTACAGGGGGACACACTCCTCCGTCCTGATCGAGCCCAGTGGGAGCACTCTCTACTACACACACACACACACACACACACACATGAGAAACACAGAGCGGACGAGGAGAACACACTGCAGTACAGATCCGCAGACAGCAGGAGGCGCTCTACAGCGGGACACACTCCTCCGTCCTGATCGAGCCCAGTGGGAGCACTCTCTACTACACACACACACACACACACTCAGGCCCTTAAGAGAGCAGCCAGAAAAATGGAGCGCAACTGGAAGGAAACTAAACTAGAGGTATTTCGTATTTCATGGAAAGAGAGCTCGATTGCTTACAGAGAGGCTTTAAAAGCTGCTAGATCTGCTTATTTTTCAACCCTATTAGAAGAAAATAAACATAATCCTAGATATTTATTTGACACAGTGGCTACATTAATAAGAAAAGAGGCTTCTACTTCTGACATTTCCAAGCAACACAGCAGTGATGACTTTATAAACTTCTTTACTTACAAGATTGATAATATTAGAGAGAAACTGATAACTATGCAACCGTCTACCACAGTATCGCATCAGGAGTGCAGTGTAGTGTCCCTGAGGAAAAACTCCATTCATTCATCGCTAAAACAACGCAACTTGATCCAAGAGAATGTCAATTACAGGCCGATCTCGAATCTGCCTTTTCTGTCAAAGATACTAGAAAAGGCAGTATCCTATCCTCACAAGTCAAGTCAACAAACTTTGTTGCATTATTTTCCTGTTATCTCTGTAAAGCTGATTTGAAACAATCTGTATTGTAAAAAGCTCTATATAAATAAATGGGACTTGACTTGACACACACACACACACACACACACACACACCACATCCTGAGTCTGAGCTCGCAAATGATCTGAGACGACACACACACACACACACACTGACCCACATCCTGAGTGTGAGCTCACAAATGATCTGAGATGAGGACACACACTCACACATCATGACATCAAGGCTAGATTATTGTAATGCTCTACTGGGTGGTTGCCCTGCACGCTTAATAAACAAACTACAGCTAGTTCAAAACGCCGCAGCTCGAGTTCTTACCAGAACCAGGAAATATGACCATATTAGCCCGGTTCTGTCAACACTGCATTGGCTCCCTATTAGACACCGCAGTCCTGAAGTGTTCTAGTCCCTCCCTGTGAAGCCCTCCTCCTTCTCCTCTGTACAGATAATCGCTGTCGGGATAATTCCGGTTCTCGTGGCTTCGCCGAAGCGATACAATTCTGTATTATAAATGTTAAGGCCAGACAAGTAGTTTGTTGAGTGTTAGTTTTTTAGGAAGGACTCCATGCCGGCGCACATATATTCACACGCACATCCCTATAGAGTGAACTCTTAATACACATGTGTGCGCCGTCAGCGTTCTCACAGGCTCGCGTTTTTAAAGTTTGCGTAGAGAGAACTGAAGAGTTTTCTGTTAGAGCGGTGTCGTGTTAGCGGCGCCTGAGTTAATCACTAATGATCTTTGCAACGGAAGTGAATCAATCAAAACTAACTTTAGCTGGACAATAACTATTCTAGAGCTGCCATAAAGCCTAAACAATCTCTGTTACTGTAATCTCCTGTTATCACAGTAAAGCTGCTTTGAAACAGTCTACATTGTTAAAAGCGCTATATAAATGAAGATGACTTGACTTGACACACACGCACACACACACACAGACACACACACACACACGCACTCACACGCATGCAAGCACACACACACACGCACACACACACACACACACTCAGGGCTTATAGTGTTCACCACAGTAATAGGCTGCAGTGTAACCAATAACCAATTCCACATGTATTTTGTGTTTTTTTCAAAATAAAATAATACTGTATTTGTACATTGTTTAACACAGTATTTGGTGTTGTAATTTTGATCCATTTCAACTGAGGTATTTTTATTCTAAAAACATTTTCATATATTTATAGGCCTACCCTACCCATCCCTCCATACATGTGTGTGTGTGTGTGTGTGTGTGTGTGTGTGTTCAGTGGTCTATAGCCTACTAACATCACTAGAGCTTCCCTCCTCCTGACCCACATCTGAGTGGCTTCAGTCAGAGCTGTAGTCTCAGGGTTACTGGACAGAGTTCTGGTCACTACCCCTGATGTTCATCATCCTGGAGGGGTAACTGTGGTGATGACGGACTGAATGCACATACCACATGCATATATGGACATGAATATTGATTTGAGTCTAAATTATCTTACAATTACAGAAGAAAGGGAATGTTGCGATTGACCAATTTAGAGTATTTCCGAGTGACGTATAATTATACATAGGCTGTGTTAGTGTTAACACACATTAATGACATTCTTTAACTATAAATGCATTACAGAACATGTCTTTGGACACGCGAAACGCACCGGGCCGCTTCAGACAATGACGCTCTGAAACTCCTGTTACGAGCGCGCGCGCGCGTGCACGTGCAAAAACAAAGACAATTCCATGTGCCAGTGTGTGTGTGTGTGTGTGTGTTAATATTTGGGGTTCGTGGCGATTGTGTCATAGGTGTGTTAGAACTGCTGCTTCATCACAGTTTTATGATCAACCGCTGAATCACGCGTAAAGCCGCGGTGACGCCCTCATCACACACACACACACACACACAGGCCCTCTGCCTCTGTTAAACCAGCTGTGGGAGGGCGCGCGCGGATGCTGAATGATGGTGCTGATGCTGCGGACACACACACACACACACACACACGCTGAGGTTTACCTCCAGGGCCCCGGCTCAGGATCCAGCTCACACTGGCCCGGGTCTTGGCTCGGGTGGGGTCGTACCGGTCCAGTGGGCAGAGGTCCGGCACCGGCGCGCTCTTCTTCACCGCGGACGCGTCCATCATGCGCGACGCGGCGCGAGGACGCGTTACCGGAGACGAGATCAAATGACGAGCGAAAACGCGAGTCTTACAGTGTCATTCTTCCGTCTAATGTCCGTGTCACCGAGAGAACCGCATCCCGGAGCCGCCCATCATCCCCGTGCGCCGCGCGCGTCAGGTGTCCTGCTGCAGCTGTCAATCAAACCCGCCGCGGCCAATCACACGCGAGGGGGCGGGGCAACAGAAGGAGAGAGAGAGAGAGAGAGAGAGAGAGAGAGAGAGAGAGAGAGAGAGAGAGAGAGAGAGAGAGAGAGAGAGAGAGAGAGAGAGAGAGAGAGAGAGAGAGAGAAAGAAAGAAATAAAGAACTAAAGAAAGAAAAAAAGAAAGAAAGTAAAAAGGGAGAAGGAAAGAAAGAACTAAAGAAATAAGGAAAGAAAGAAAAAAGAAAGAAAAAAGTGAAAAAAAGAAAGAAAGAAGGAAAGATGATCCGCAATGTCCAGTTTTCTTGTCGTGATTAGAACGTTTGTTAATACAACATTCTCATAACCTTATTTATTACAAGAAAATGACGTCAATATTCAGCAAATATCAATAACATCATAAGGAGCTTCTACACCTGTTTCAGACGGCTGTAATTATGCTGTTGTTTGTCAGCTCAACTGTGTTGAAAACTAAGTTGTCTGTCTGAAATAAACCAAACAGAATGTCGTTTTCTCAACGTCATACAGACAATAAAAACCGCGTTCTGATGTTTTCTCTCAACATCATGAGAAACCATGAAATATGAACCCTTTCACGCAGAGGTCTCACTACAGTGGACAAGCATTCAACAGGCATTTTCTATGAAAGAAAGAAAGAAAGAAAGAAAGAAAGAAAGAAAGAAAGAAAGAAAGAAAGAAAGAAAGAAAGAAAGAAAGAAAGAAAGAAAGAAAGAAAGAAAGAAAGAGCGCAGTTTTCTGAGAGTTCACAGCACCTCACACACACACACACACGCACACAGCACCTCACACACATGATTATTTTATTTGGAATGACCAATACTGATTAAAACAACACAGCATCCAAATATTCACAAAGAGCCTGTTGTGTTTCACACACATCGACAATAGTCACAACCACAGGAATATATAAATAAATAGACTATGAATAGAGGTGACATCGCCTTCTCCAAACATGCAGACTGCCTATGATTGCTCACACACACACACACACACACACACACACACACACACACACACACACACACACACACACACACACACACACACACACACACACACACGCACACACACACACACACACACACACACACACACACACACACACACACACACACACACACACACACACACCTCCAGCAGAGGGCGCTTACTGTAACATGTAATGAACATCAACAGTGCGAGCTCGTGTAAGCTCACATAGTTCAGGAGTTTACAGGGACCGTTCACAACCACACACGCTCGCCTGAAGCGATGAGACGAGAGAGTTCAGCTGGAAATGCAGAGTAACCCGTTTCAGATGAAGTAACACACACACACACACACACACACACACACACACACTGAAACCAGAGCACTCTCAGTGCGAGTTTACATGTATTAGCTGTGACTCTGTGTCTCGGGATCTTTTATTCGCTATTCACTCAGCGACTCGGACACACACGGACACCGGGACGCTACACACACGAACAGTAAAGAAACGCTTAACTGTTTTCCTAATCGGTGCTCAGATTGATAGCACAGGTGTGTGTGTAAGATGTCTGCTAAAGATCGGTTAATCTGGGAGCATCTGCCGTGAAAAAACATCTGATAAACATCTTAGAAAAGGCAGTTTTACATATATTGTAAATCTTCTTAATGTCTATAAACTGTAAAAAAAAAAAAAAAAAAAAAAATCCATTAAATTTACGGTAAAAAAACAGCATCTGTGGCCAGAAATTTACGGTAGCAATATTTTAAGTTTTACAGACCCAACTTAAATTTACAGTAAAAAAACTGTATTTCATTATCTGATATAATAATGTTAATTTACCGACATACTGAAGTACTAATATCTGTTTTGCACACAATCACAGCGTTTTCACACACACTGAACACCATCATGGTGACACACACGACATTCAAAACATGCAACATAAAACCCTAATGTACATGATTAGGAAAAACTATGAAGAAACAGTTATTTCAGCAAAAATACATCAA